ATATTCTTGAGTGCGAGTAACGTTTGTTTGCAAAGAGTTAAAAATTCTCTTAATGATTTTGAGTTACTTTTAGCTAAAGATGGAGCCTTTAACAATTTTTTAATATGTAAACTAATTACACGCGATTTATTTTCGTACCGATCTTTGAGCGTGTCCAAAGCGATTCGGAAATTTTCTTCTACAACTTCAATGTTTTCAATTAAGTGCAAGGGTTCGTTTTTTAAGAAGGATTTAAGATATATAAATTTTTGCACATTGTTCAGCTCCACATTATTAATTATTAGCGTTTCAAATAGCTGATAAAACGCGTTCCATTCGGCGAAGTTTCCAGAAAAAACCTGCATTGTAATTTCCGGCAACCTAACCTTAGCAGTGGCTACAGTTGACGGAGTATCGTTTGAGCTGAGCGAGTGGGAGGGTAACTTTAATGCTTCCATCTTATGCTGCAGTCCAGCTAGTGTAGAAAAGTATTTTTTCTCCATGAGTACTCTGTCTTCTGTTTCAGAATCGGTTTCATCGATTTCTTCAATCTGATCCATCACCTCTTCATACTTTAGATAACATGATTTCAATTCCGTGTGTCTGAGTTGAAACTGGAGACCGTCAGTTTCTGCATCTGCGTTTTCTAGTAGCCAGTTTACTATTCTAGTAATCTTGGCCTTCAGCGGCTTCCTCTTCTTCTTAAGATCTTCCATTTCGATTTTAACAAAAAGTGCTACTCCAAAAATAACTGCCTACGGTCGTGCAAACACCGAATTCTTTAGAGAAATTAATGTTTCTATTATATAATAATGCGTGTATCACACAGCGAGAATAGAGTGAGTAATGTTTATCGTATATAATAACATGTATAGCACACAACGAGAATAGAGTAAATAATGTTTATATTATGTAATAACATGTATAGCACACGGCAAGAAAGTTTATAGTTTATTAAAACGCGGTAAAAGTCTTAAATCACACATAAGAGTTTATTTTTGCAATTAAATTTTTTGCACACCCGGTAAATGTCTACAAATGTCTACAGATAAATTTTTAAAGAGATAGTCTTTTTGAACAGCGATTTACCCTGTGCATAAGCGAAGTTATAATATGGAAAAATCTCACCCAATTTGTCCAGTGGTTTGCAGGAACAGGCACAAACACTATATAAACTTCACTACTGTCCTTTTGTTTCAGAGTTTATCGCGACACCTTAGTCTTTTCGAGAGTCTTTTAAATACATTCATCTAAATATCCGAAACTAGTTAGTACAAATGCCAACATCAAACACAAATCCGGCTCGAAGGACCACAAACAATGATGGAGTTTTCTCCGATTTCCACCAATTGTTGTGGGGAAAGCTTATTAAATTCCTTTCCCCGTGCGTGTACAGTTCCAAATATTTTAGGACCATGGACTGTACAAGAGTGTTTCCTTCGATATATACAAGCAGAACTTCACGGCGCTGGTTCTTTATGTGTTTGATTTAATAGGGGTTGTACTAAGAGAAAAAATAAGCGTAATTAATTGAATCTACACATTTAATAACAAGAGAATATTTACACAAGCACTAATACTAACGAAAGAGTTAACATTGTCCATTATTCTATCGGCGTTTAGGGCGCGCGAGCTATCGCGAAAAACAAATACACATTTCACTGCATTTTGGCGGCGAAGAGAGAGATTAGTCGCTAGGTACCGGCGATACCGCACAGTATGAGACTCTAGTCACATCTGCGAGAGATTTTGAATTGAATCTTTACCTAAAAATGCCGACAAGGCGGCGTCACTTTTACCACTTTAAACAACCCTTATAAGCTATTTATGGCACAAATAGTTTGCAGGCAAAAAGTACAGTCTTTAACATAAAATCCAAACTAATATTTGTGAGAACTAAAATTACACTAAAATTAATATAAAATGTTGTTTTTACAACAACAATTATGAACTATATAAGTTATACACCGATCCAGATATTGTGAAATTCATTAAAATGCGGAGACTTAGATGGGCTGGACATATTGCTAGGATATTATATCAAAATACGTGAAGAGATTAACATTTTCAAAACCAGAGGGCATGAGAAGTAAAGAACGACCACGAAGAAGATGGATTGATAATTTGAAAGAAGACCTACGGGTTCTAAGGGTCAGAAGATGGAGGGAAGTTGTATTAAAACAAGTAATTATTACTAAGTGAACTAGTATTATGAATAGATTTTTGGAAGAAAATTATTTTTTCACGAATTGTTTAAACATACTAAACTATTTATTAATTAATTAATATATAAACAAATTACATATTTGTAATGTACGTAGAAATTACATACAAATTAAAAAAGAATGATCAAAATCCATTGAGTAGATCCGGAGATATAGAAAATTTTATTAGTTTGAAAATTGCTTGTTCGGTATGGATTTGTAGGTTCTTCCTAGTCACCACTTGAACTACATTTTTGAGTGTCACAAATCAACAAAAAATATTTCTATTCATATAATTACATTAGTTATGACCCTCCCCCGAGAGGGTGTATATATACTTCTTACCTACTTATCGGCGAGAATCCAGAAGCTATCGACAAGGACAGCCTGTTCTGACCGAGAGAGAGAGTTACATTTAGCAGAACTTTACATGTTACATGTGTTACACTTTAAAAATAAAAACAGATTCGGAAAGTGGGTCGAATTCTGTAGTGCTCCATTAAAAAAAAATTTTACGTTTATTTTAACTCAAAATATTTGAAAGGAAAATATTGTTTAACCAATTTATTAATTTACAACCAAATAGTACACTAGAACTTTTTAAGACATTTCATATAAAAAAAGAATCATCTCAAAATCTGCCATAATTTTTGCGTTATTTGATATAAACTGTTATGTTAATTTAGCTATGCCCAGAATCGCGAGGAACGGCCTTAACAATATTTAAACATTTAATACGGGCCGAATTTATGGCCCGTAAACAGGACATAAGTTCATTATGGGAACCCCCGGAAGCTTTAGTTTCATTCTAAACACAAATAAATAAAGCCTTTATTTGTATAAACCAAATATACACTAGAATTTTAAAAATCATCAAAACGAATATATATTTTTTTATATAAATATGTTATTACTGTGGCGGGTAAATAAATGTTGGTAAGTGATCTTGTGCAAAAAATCTCGGAGTAATATACACTGATGCTGACGAATAACAAGTCGGGAGTTTCCAGAAGCAATCCAGCTGTGTCAACAAATTCTAATCTCACGTTCTCTAAGGCTTATTGAGGCTCATTACTCGTTATGCAATGGATGAGCGAGAGTGAAAAGTGAGTTTCTGGCGTCAATAAAACTAAAACATATCAAGAAATAGAAAAATCCTATAAAAAACCAGCCCAGTTAATAAGAAACCCAGTCCAGAAATTGAAATCAGGAGAGGAGTTAGGCAGGGATGTATTATGTCCCCATTACTATTTAATGTATATAGTGAAGCCATTGTTGAAGAAACATTACTATCTCAAAGTGAAGGAATAATAATTAACGGAAGATCTATTAACAACATAAGATCACCGTGATTATGGCAAGCTCTGCTGAACAACTCCAGTTAATGCTAAACAAAACAAACATTAAAAATTGATATACATTATACAGTTAAAAGGTGATAAATACAAATACCTAGGAACCTGAATTTCAGACACTAATGTTTAAACAACCGAAATAAGAGCTAGGATAGAAATAGCAAGAAATGCGTTTGTAAAAATGAAAACAATTCTCTACAACAAAGATATTAGATTAGAACTGAGAGTAAGAGCACTGAGATGCTACGTGTTTTCGATAAAAATTAAAATAAATCATTCCCAATGTGAAGAACTTCATGGTTTTGCACAGATATGAAGGAAAAATACAAAGGAAACAAAAAAAAAACCTTACCTGAAATACATTTCAACCAAGATACAAGAAGCATATTACAATTACAAGACCAAAAAACACACGCACTTGTGAGAATAATAAAAAATGATCACTGAACGTTTTTCAAAAAAAGAGTATGATTTTTATGGTCTACAAAAGAAAATATGGTGCTTAAGGGAAAAAGGAGTAAGGAGATAAAAAATGTAACGTATGGTATATAAAGGAGTGAACACTAAACAGAAAAAAGAGTGGAAAAATAACATAATGGGGGAGATCCCTTAGGTCAAAGTACCAACAGATAAATCAATAATTGGTAGAAGAAGTATCAGAGGATCGCGCAATAGATAAAGTGACAAACTTCAATAGAGGTGTTAGCCAGCCGATGAACAAGAATAATTGCTGATAAAAAGGAAAAAGAAGAAAAATAAATATTGTTGGTAGGTCTTGGAGTTAATACCTATAAGTTGCCGTTGGTTACATTACTCTATAATAAGTGTATCAAAAGAGGACTGATTTTAAATAAGAGTGTTGGGGGTTCTAGAAATAGAACCCAGACATGCTATAAATCTACACTCACTTCGTGGTAAACTACATAATTACATGGATGCATAGCTACAGGGTACATGACGTACATTAGACATAGCCAAAGAGTTTCCGGCATCTTAAAACTAGAACAGATCTATTAAAGAAAAAAAATCTTCTAGTCTTTCAGGTTGGAGGTTGAGCGGTTTAGTTTAATTTTATAACAGTTTACTAGAACTTTATTTGATTTAAAGAGTTTAAAGATCATAGTTCCTAATCTACATACACTTTTCGCCATTTTCGGTAACATCTGTTACAAGTAGAACAAAATCCTAGTCATCGAGACACTTTTTCAAAAAATTTTAAATCTTTTTATCTAGGTATTTAGAAAGCCTTTCAATGTTGATGTAAATTTTGACAATGCCGATAAAGAAAGTGTGCTAGATATTTTTGATCAAAATAGCTGATATCGATGGTTTACTAAAAAAGTCATTTAAAATATTTTGGTATCAAAACACTATTTACTAACTTAATGTATTTGTCAGATATTGATAAAAGAGACATATTTAATCGTATATAAACAGAAATAACGTTAATAATTAAAAGGTTGTTGTTTTTGTTTAATATTCGATAGTATGAGGCTGATATTTTTGTTAGTACTTGTAATTTCCCAGCACTATGTGCACGGTGGGATTTTGTATCCTCGTATTACAGAAACAAGAGAACTGGTATCATTAGATGGGTTATGGCACTTTTCTTTAAACATCAACGGCAGTTTTAACGAGAAAATTGGTTTGTCAGTAAGTATATTTCACTGATTTTTTTTTCTTTTTGCCCTTTTATTCATAACTAGCTGACCCTGCGAATTTGGTACCGCCTTAGAATAATATAATGTGTCAAAGTTCAATAATCTCTACTTTCGGGTCTGTTCTTCTTCTTCAAGTTCCACTCCTATCGGAGATTGGAAATCATTCTGGCAATTATAATTTTATTGGTTACTCGCCTGAATAGTTCAATTGAACTGCATCCAAACCACTCACGGAGATTGCGTAGCCACGAGATTTTACGTCTTCCTACGCTTCTTCTACCTTTGATTTTACCCTGCATTATATTCCTTAGTAGTTCGTACTTTTCACCTATGTGCCCCAAGTATTCCAATTTCCTGATCTTTATGGAATATAAAACTTCGCATTGTTTTCCTAGTTGTTCGAGAACTTGTTCGTTTGTTTTGCGATCCATCCATGATATTTTCAAAATGCGTCGGACATTTCGAATGCTTCTAGGTTTTTAATGTTGGATTTTTTAAGTGTCCAAGCTTCAACTCCATACAAAAGGGTAGAGAAAATATAACATCGAAGCATTCTTATCCGGAGCGAAATATTGATATCGCGATTACAAAAAAGTTTTCTCATTCTATTAAAAGTTGACCGCGCAATTTCAATGCGGCATCTTATTTCTTTTGTCTGATCAGTATCTTCTGTGATCCATGCTCCAAGGTATTTGTACGAAGATATTTGTTCAATTTCTGTATTGTCTAGTACTAGCTTAACTTTGATGTTTTGTGCTTTTGTAAATACCATGAACTTTGTTTTCTTCAAATTGATTTTTAGTCCATAATCGTTGCAATATATATTTAGTTGTTCAGCAAGGTGTTGCAGTTCTTCTAGTGTTCCTGCCAAAAGAACGGTGTCGTCAGCATATCTTATGTTATTAAGTGGCTCACCGTTTATTATAAGGCCCTCACTGATCTCGGCAAGCGCTAATTCTGAGATGGCTTCACTGTATAAATTGAATAACAAGGGTGATAAAATACACCCTTGGCGGACCCCACGGCGAATCTGGATATCCTTGGTCAGTTCGTTTTCAACTTTCACTTTTGCTGTTTGATTCCAATAGAGGTTACAGATGATTCTAATGCCTCTACTGTCTCTATTTTTATTTAATAAAATTTCTTTAAGTCGATTATGTTGCACTCTGTCAAATGCCTTCTCAAAATCAATGAAACAGGCATATACTTCCTGATTAATATCTAAGCATCTCTGCGAAAGAACACTTATTGCAAACAGTGCATCTCGTGTTCCCAGTCCTTTCCTAAATCCCATTTGTGTATTACTTATGCCTTCATCTAATTTCTTATGTATTCTATTGTGAATTACTTTTAAAAACAATTTCAAGACATGACTCATTAAAGCTATGGTGCGATGTTCATTGCACTCCTTTGCATTGGCTTTTTTGGGAAGCAATATGAATGTTGATTGGAGCCATTCTTTAGGTATTATACCTGTTCTATATATGGTATTGAATAGATCCAAAAGAAGATCAATAGATTCAGTATTCACAATTTTAAGTAATTCGATAGGAACTTCATCAAGCCCGGGAGATTTACCATCTTTAGCTTGTTTCATTGCATATTCAATTTCTTCTCGTATAATGTCAGGCCCAGTATCATCCTTAAATTCTTTTGGTGCTTCTGTTCTCTCTTAGTCTTTAAATAGTTGTGCTGTATATTGTGTCCATCTCTGCATTTTTTGGTTTATATCTGTTATAAGTGCACCCCTTTCATCTCTTAGTTGCCTAGTTTGAAGTGTTTTTCTCATTCCTGTTAATTCTCTAATTCTTTTATGCATGTTAAAAAAGTCATATTTTTTCTCAATTTCTTCTAGTTCTTGGCACTGCTCATGTAACATTCTCTCCTTAGCTTCTTTTATTCTCTTTTTTATTAATCGATCAGTTTCATTATATTTAATTGGATTTTTTTGTTTTGAATAGTCTTTTTTGAATTGTCTTTCATTCATTAATAGTAGTATTTCTTCAGTCATCCAATCTTTATGTTTTCTATTCTTTGGTTTTAAGTTTTCATTTGCTGTTTTAATTATTGCTGCTTTTATATTTTCCCATTTCTGATCAATGTTATAGCTACTTTTATTCAGTTCTTGGGCATTACGTATATTTTCAATAAGAGTTTTTACAGTTTGTTCCTTTGTTTGTGGTTGCCTTAATCTCTTAATATCAATTCTACTTTGTGTGGGTTTTTTAACCAGTTTTAATTTGGTTCGTAATGTGACTACTATGGGGTTATGGTCTGAACCGATGTCTGCTCCAGGGTAAGTTTTGGCAGACAGTATAGAATTACGAAATCTTTGTCTAATAAGGACAAAGTCAATTTGATTTCAGATTATTCTATTCGTTGTATCACCGGGAGATTTCCATGTATACAACCTTCTTTTTGGTAGCTTAAAAAGTGTATTAGCTATTACAAATTCTTCCGTCTGGCAAAATTGTATCAAACGGTCACCACGTTCATTTCTATTTCCTAGACCATATTCCCCCACATATCCATCCACTCTTCCCTGGCCAATTTTGGCATTGAAGTCGCCCATTACTATTGTAGTGTGATGTTTTTTCATTGATTTTAAGACTTGTTCCAAATCATGGTAAAACAGTTCGATATCGTCGTCATCTTTATCTGCCGTAGGAGCATAAACTTGAATAAAATTTACTATACCTTTTTTTTCGGGTCTGTTACGTAACAGAAATGTCTGGGTAATGAAATAAATCCGGTCGAGATATCAATAGCGACTATACAATTTCCAATATCTAATAATTGCTTCGAAAACACAGTTGCACTTTATTCTTGTTGCAAAAACACTCTCATTTTACTTGTCAATTGAGGCGTATTTATTTACCGCCACAAATTGGATGATGTCAGGCACGCGTTTAGTTCGTCAGCAGCAGTTAATTGGGGAATAATTATTAAATAAGGAACAGTTTGACAATAGAATCATGTCTCAAAAAACGGTTCATGTCGGCAAAAACAGTTTTGATTGTCACGATTAGTTTTTTAAAGTTCTGACCAGTGCCTGTAATGACTTCTTGCAGGCCAATATACATTCGTCCCAAATGACTAATTTGCCTACCTGTGAAATCTTCGCCATTCCGATATTATTGCCGATTTTGCAAATTGGTGTTTCATTGATTTGTATATTTAATAAAACATACAAATACAGCAATAACAATAAAATTGTTAATGTTTTTTCGGTAAATTGAGCATTGAGGAAGTATATTTCGCCAGATGCAATGTTCACAGCTTATATCAATGTATCGTACGCAATTTATTGTTGATTTAATTGTAGAAAATGTGTAAAAACTATTTCGGCAAATTATTTAGTGTTGAACTGTAGTTCTCTTTGTAACTATTGTTATAAAGAGAACATAGAGTCACAACATTTAAAAAATAAAATTAAATACAGAACAAACAATTAAATTATCATACTGCGGGTCTCTTAATATTCGTTAAATTTAAGATCTGATTTTATTTTATCGTATTCTATTTTATTTTATTCTATTTTATAATATTTCTTCCATGATATTCCTTTTTATTCCGATTTATTTTGTTTTATTCCATTTAATTTCAGTTTATTATATTTTATTGTATTCTTATTCTATTTTATTCCATTTGATTCTATTTTATTCTACCTTACTTCATTTTATTCTTATATATATTTTTTTGTTTTTATTTTAATTTAATTTAATTAGATTTTTTATTTATTTTTTATTCTATTCTATTATATTTCATTTATATAATAAATAACATTGATGTTTTTTTTAAAGGGGTCAATGAAATTTTGGTTTTCGAAAACAACTTTCTTACAGTTCTGGTGTTTTTAAGGTAATTTTAAGTGTTTAAGATATTCAAGGTTTTGTTTAACTTATTCGTGATCTATGGGAAATTCGTAAGGGAAGTATATTTTATAGCGTAAACTATACACCACAAATTTGTTTTTTTTACTCGTGTAAAAAATACACGAGTAATGGGGGTGACGTATTTGAAATTGTGTTCGAAATTTGGTGTATTTGGCAGGTACGCAAATATTGGCGTACTTGCCAAATACACGTGTAGTGGGAGTACGCCTTTACAGTGAGCCAGCTGTAACAACAGACGAATTCACCATGTGTTTTAGCAAATTAATATTTGGTCAGCACAATTTATCTGAATTCATAATTATTTACTTTTATCAGTGTTAGTGTTAGTGGTGATTCATCAAGGCATCTTATAAGTATTGTATTGTATTGAAATTTGAATTTATATGAGACATTTATTTTATAAAATGAAATTAGGTATAGATAACGTTTTTTTAATAATTAGTTTAGATAATTAATTGCCAAATAACAAATAAAACGATTGCTAGTAAAAACGATTCACTAGATCATTCATAGTAAAGTGTGCCGCTTGGATATCTAACTCACGATGTAATCTAGTCGTAAATAAGGCTTTTGTTTTTTTAAAAGATTAATAAATAGTTGAATAGATACTCCTAAAATAAAAATTAATTTAAATTCTGTGAATTAAAATTATCGTTATCACAACTAGCATGTTTAGCACAAATATAATAAATTCATTCTTAACCGTTTTTAATATATATATATATATATATATATATATATATATATATATATATATATATATATATATATATATATATATTATTGTGATATTTAAAGTCTTGGTGCGCCAAACAATAATTAGCTAATTAATTAATTGCTTAATTAAAATTATTTAAATGATATGATTATGACTCTATCACACTTTTTAATTCTCTTATCTCAGGGTTAAATTCGTGCTTCAATATCTATGCTATTACATGTAAGAGGTAAGGTCAAAAGAATACCGGAATAATAAAAAACACATATGATCTAACACTATATATTGAAATAAAAATAATGAAATAATTCACACTCAAAAGTTTTCAATAAACAAAATCTCATATAATAATTCTCAAAATTTTGTTCTACGTACGTG